TGCATAATAGTGTACTAAAAATGACCCTTTGCTTTTGCAAATGGGAGACAGAGGAATATTACCTAGATTACAAAGCCATATAAACGTAAGGTTGAGTGACTGGTGATAGAACAATGGATGGTGAAAAAAGTAGCAAAATCCAAAGTAGAAGAAAAAATACACATTAAACTGAAAAAAGGTGAAATGTGAAATCCATCCCTTTTCTATAAACACATGTGGAAAGAATAACACCTAACCTTTTTATTCTTGGCTCCTTTTTTTTTCCCCCCCTCTACATTCCAAGAGAAGATCTGCCAACTTTTGGCCGTATCTGTTTCTCTTCTGTTGTTTGCCAATATTAGTGCACTCTAGCACACATTCTTTCTTAAGACTTCAAAATGTGTCATTTGTTAGGCCTAACTGTTTAAAGAACCCAGCCACCTTTACCTCCTTTGCTCACTGCAAGCTGGGTGGTATTCAGCACATTCGCATAGCCCAGCTTACACACCGCAGGTTTGGTTGAATCAGTTTTTAATTCAAAAGACTCTTGAACCAGACTTCACACTGCAGGCTTTGTGTTAGTGTAGATCAGAAGACCTTGCACTGATACATGAGTGCTCCTAATGCTCTCTTCATCCTTAAATACACACTGCAGCAAACATACCTGTGTTTTGCTTATTGAAGCCTCCTGATGTAGAGCTGCAGTATTTCTGTATGTTCTGTAAAGCATTTCTAAAATCTTGAAACAGGGTCTGCTTATCATTACACATAAAAACAGAGAGTAATTCACCTATGTATGAAAAGGTAGCCCAGTTTAACAGGTTTAGGCTTTAAGTTGCACTTCTGTGGGACAGTTAGAGGAATTTTGTTTGTAGATAGAGGAATGACTTTCACCTGAAAAAATTAACTAATATCACTTAGAAATAAAATATTAAGTGACTTAGGTACACAGTAACGACTCTGGGCACATAAAAATATGAAAATGGTGTTGGATTCGATTTGATATAAAAGGACATAACATTAATTGTGCTAAATCTATGTCCATTTTAACCAAACCTTTATCTGGCTCTGATAAGCAGAAAGAAATGTAAATCTGAATCAGCTTGAATCTTTTTGTTTTAATGCTAGCTTTCTTTATGGTAAGAATAATAGCATGTACAATTATCTTCCAAAAATTTAAAACAAACAAACAAAAAAACCCRACTTTACTAGGAGTCAAAAAAACTTACTCATTCTCCATCTCTGCCTTGCTCTCCTTTTTTGTTTTTTTTTTTTTAAATGAGCAGGAATCTTGCAAGGACAGGCAAAGTAGTTTGCTTGGCACCACACCATGTGCAATACTGTTAGGAACAGAACCAAATGTTCTGGACTGCTCGCTGTTACTATTTAATATAACAGCATCCTCAGGCGTGAAGGCATTCATGTTTGGGGGGGGATGTTGTATGAGATGCAGAAGAGTAAGGAACCACTGGCTGGACCAAGGCTTCAGGCCACATACAGGCCACTATATTCAGCCACAAGATGCATCAGATCCATTTTCAGCTGCCTCAGGTTTTGGTAGTGTTCACCTCTGGGGCGATAATTTCCTTGCTATGATATAAATAGGCTCATAGTGTGTTTCCACGTACTTACTTCCCATGATTGATAAACATTGCTAAGTGTGACAAAGGAGAAAAATCTATCATAAAAACAACATACATTAAGCAGTAGGAGCTGTCTTCATATATATATCTGAGATCCTCAGATGTAGCGTTTAGTAGGCTTCTGCATTACAACAAATGAAATTGTTTTAGAGATCAAAAATCGTTGTATAGAGATCTTAAGGATAATGACAAAGCCAAAAAAATGGTTAAACTTGGATAAAACCAAGTTCAGGCTCTCATTTAGCAGATTTTGCAGAGGAGAATGTTACTTAAGACTAACTGCTGCTGACCATTGGAGAAATGAGGAAAGATACTATAATCTTAGGCAATCCCAGTTTTGGTCTGTTCCCTTGACCTGGATTAACCTTTTCTCTTTTATCTGTATTTTAATTCCAAACACCTTACTCAAATGAGACTGTAGTCAGGTCCCTGCTTAAACCTTTAGTGGGCAACACTAAGGTGGTTAGAAATAAGGTTGAACTCTATTATAATTTCATATAAACACTGAAGGCAGTCTTGAATCTCCCATAATTATTAGTGGGTTTGGTCTCCAGTGAGATGTTCAGCATCTGGCTGTATTTGGTTTATTAATTCCCTTTTAAAGTCACTGCCTTTCAAGAACCATTTAAAATACAGGTTTCTTCTTAACTCACTAGCTGACATATACACTACATAGAGGCTATGCAGAATTTGGCTCAACTTACTTTTGTAAACAAGAAGAAAAATAGGAAATAGCAAAAAGACTGTTAAAATCTTAGTTGAAATATTTTTGGGGGTGCACTGCAACAAGACACTGGAGTTTAGGTGATGTTTTTAAGCAGCATCCATAGTTATCATCTGCAAGCCTTCACACAGACTATTAGAGTAAAAACAACTATTTCTTTCTCAAGTGAAAATAAATCAGTAAGTTTACCCATAGCACACTCGCTACTCTTATACAAAAACTACAAAGAGACTAACAAAATATTAATTGTGCATTCTTTGCATTTACTACAGTACACTTTCACAGTATCAACAAAGATCATGTCCCTTACAAGATATGTTCTGTCAGCTAAATATAGCATATAAGACTTGTTTTTAATGAATAAAAAAACTCAGAATAATCCCTAACAAGCAAATGGTGAGAGTCAGGCCAATCAGGGCAACTAAAAGGTAATGTGGGCAAGGCTAACTATGAACTGAAGCTCCAGGGATGTATGTGGTTTAAAGCTGGATGCTTCACAATTAAACAGTGGTATGCAGCCATGGGTATGAGGGGGAAAAAAAAAGAAAAAAAAGGACATATCCTATTCAGGTGTTCTTAAAATTCATCCTGATGTCACATTCTAACTTCTTACTTGGCTCAGTTTTTCTGAGTGCAGAAATTCCTTCTAGGCTTTGGTTGAGCTCCTGCTGGTAACTAGCAGAACGAAAGAGTTAGAACTACTGTCCTTCGCAAAGGGAGCAGAGAGAGGCCACCTGCTTGCTTTGAGACTTTTCCTTCTAGGCTGCACGAGGAAGATGCAGCAGTGTTGGGTGTTCCAGTTCAAAAGGGTTTGCAGCATCTTTAAGATAACTGCTGCAGTAGTTGCCTCAAAAGTCAAGGTCATAGGCCTTGAAACTGTAGGATGTTTAGGCTAGTTAGAAGGGACTAAGGCTTTTCACTGCTCTGAATCTAGTCCACTTCAGTAGGGAGGAGTGCTTAAAAGTTAATCCCATGATGAATGGTTTTCATGAAGTTGGCTATTCCTGGTCCACATCAAAACTGGCATTAAACAGCAGTCTTAATAAAAAGATCAGAGGAAAGTGAGCCAACTTACRCTGTCATCCTTCCAGATTGTGTTTGGGGGCACATTCCTGGGGATCTGGAGGGAGGTTTCTAATGCCACTAACATCTTTCCTTTTCACATGTCCAGAGATAAAGATGGCAAGTTATCAGGCAGCAAAGCAATAACACCAAGTGTGTACTGAAGACTATCTGAACACTGTAGGCATCATCCTGAAATAACATGAGATAAAATGACTCCCAATAGGACAAAAACAATAAATATTAGCAAGATAGAGACTTCCCCTAATCCATCCTGAACTTTTTTTTTTTGGTAGAATTTTCAGGAACATTTTTATCCTGAAACACTCTCACAGGATGGATTTTTTTTGACTGGATTGATAAAACTTCTGCAAAGCTGCAAATGATGGCAAATAAGGGCTTAAAGTGAGATGAGTCACTCATTCCTTAAGACTAGGAACCATCGCATTACCTATGTGCATTATGAAGGAGACTGAATCATTCCTCATTTGTTTATGATGAAAATCTGGTTTTAGAGAGCTGAAATACTACACTTAACAAACCCATTTTCTCCGCTGCTTTTCAGAATTCTCTGATAGATTTTTTACTTTGCTGTTTCCCGTCATGTTTCTACATTTCTCTTACAATTCCATATGATGCATATTCAATTCCTTTAAAAAAAAAAAAAAAGAGAGAGAATAACACTAGAATTTGAGGTCAATACCAGGCTAGCTACATACACAAAATTCTAAAAATTTTAAAAGATTTTCAATTTAAATGTACTTTTTTWAAACTTACTTTAAAAAAWATATATATATAGCCAAAAAAAATAAGGTGCCTTCTGGATTCAATCACTTGAATTCAATTGATTTGCATATAAAATCTGAGAATATCATCTTGGATATTAGCTTGAAAATATATCCTGGGGCCACAGATAGTATTTCTAGACATAGAAGCAGCAACATTCATTAATAAAGTCATTTAAATATACACAAAATAGAATACCTATCAAGAGTAGTACAAGGGAAATACTCACAGGACTTCTACAGGTTTAAGGGAATTGTATAACTAAAATCTTAAATAAAAACTTACTGTATTAAAGCTGGAATCTAATTGTGAGCTGTAGAATATAATCCTCCTCAGTACAGATCCTCTAAATGTGCTAGAAGAACCCATTATATCAGCAAATGCTTCATCAGCACATTATACTGCAGTTATATGAAACCAAGGGAGCTGTCAACAAACGTAACATTGCTTAACCAAAATCAGATTTTTCACTCTGTCTACTAAAATAAGAGAGACATCAGGATTCTTTTTTACTTTATTTTATAAACAACAGTTTCATGAACATACAAATAAATCAAATAGATTTATGTCRAAATACCGTCTTAAGGTTTTAATGCTAAATATTATTTTGAATTTAGAGCAGAGTTTAGGAAACATTTGAAATCTGTAATACCCTAATTTAAAAAAAAGAAAGATTTTCCTATCTCATTCTCTAAAGACAATTAACAAATTCAAAATTATATCTTTAAGGTGGAGGAAATCAAAACAACAAAAACATGGGGCAGAATATGAAACAAAGAGCTCAAAGATTCAAAGATATGAAAGTATCTTTGTTTAAACGAGATTCAAAATTACAAACCTGTATTTGCTTTGATCAGAAACTTCAGAGTTGACCATCACCCAACACAGCACTTGGATTTTGAGCACACAAACATATTTCAACAGCARTAATCAAAGTGCAGGGATCAACATAATTTTTCTAACTCTCATGGAATCCAAATGCTTTACTGAAATCAGGGCCTTCCTAGCTAGACTCTCCTTTTATTAACCTATACAAAATCACTAATGAACTGCGAAAGATTAGGGAACCAAACCGAGAAGTTTTTAGCAGTGTTAATGAAAATGAACTATATTGACCTTAAAATGCAATCTAGTGGCTCAACCCAACAGTGGTCCTTTCCTGGACACAATTCAGTATGCCAACGTTCCCCAACCACTTCACTTGCAACAGAAGCTTTGTTTTTCCCATTCATACAAAAACTGCATCTTCATTGTTCATRTTTTCAGCTAACCTTTTGGAAATGTCTATCTTACAATGTTATTTTGAAATCAGAACTGATGCAATTAGAAAACAGGCTCAGCAATTCTAAACCACCAGCAGAAATCACTTGAGAAGAAAAACAAGCGATAACTTTCTGCACATCAGAACATTATAATTGTCATAATTTAGACACTTAGGGCATAATTCAGATACACAGGGCTAAATGCTCATGTTTACACTATCAGAAATCGGAAGTAACTCTGTAAAAGCTACTSAAGTGTGTAAATCTGTGTTTGGGCAAGAGATCAGAGCCATTCAGTACTGTCTTCCATTATCAGCCTACRGAGTTGGTAAGCATATGACAGTCACTATTATCCAGCAAATGAATTGCAAGTGATAGGTAATGTAGCAGAATTACAATAGTAGACTTCAAAAACAGAGGACTGACCGATGCTCTACAATGAAAACAATATTTGTAATACAGTTGATTTGTAATTATTTTTCAAACATTTTGAAAACAGCCTCAGAAATTCAAGACCAGTGGTGAAACGACTTGAGATGATAAACAAGTAACCTACAACTCTGTACAACAGAGCTATAAAATAAACATGTTAGTTCTTAGTAAGTAAATACAGGGGCGTCATTGGTGTTAGATGTTCAGCTACAAGAAAAACTGATGTTTATTTTCCAATTGATCTCATAGATTTTATGGGGCAGCATGAACCTTTTTTTCTTGGTGGAAGTCATTTGAAAATGAGAGGTTTTTGTTTGTTTGTGTTTATTAGCAGGGTTGAATGCAAACTCTTGCTTATTGCCTCAATTCAGAAGTAATCACACAATGATCTGAAAGAATCTTATAACTCTACATTGGAAAAATTAATGGAAGGMTCATCTTTCCCTCAGATGTTACATCTCAGTTCATAGATGTAACCATCATCAATAYCATACACTCACAAACAATCCTACATTCCAGTAAAACTGAGAAATTTAGAACTTTCTTACAGGAGCAGATACAAGAGTAAAACTGGCAAAGTTCAAGAAGTGTCCCTAATACAGCAGAAGTGCTGGAGAGGGGCTTGTAGTGTCCATGAACAGAATTTTAATAAAGGGAATCATTTCAGCTCATTTTCCTGTGTCCTCTTTGATCCCAATTTGTCTGCAGTTGTCCTTGTTGTCCAKTTTCTGGATTGTGTGTGCATAATGTGTAAAGACCACCACTGATTTAGAAAGTATTTGTCTCTAACAAATCACCCATCAGTCTGTTTCACTTAAAGTCCTTTAGCTGCCAGTTAATGAACTTAGCAGTGTTAACTTTTAAAGTGATAACTAGAGAGTATTTATTGCTAATACACTGATCACAGTGATTCTTTCCAAGCAGAGATAGCAGGGAAAGAGTGTCAAGGATTTCTTTGTTCTGTTTTCATTTGTGTTCTTTTTTTTTTTCCCCTAATGTATAGCTTGAAGAAAAAAATAHAGATTGTTTCAGTGGTTCACAAGTTCCCATTCTCTACTGATTTCATCCTGCTTTTTTTTCAACTCAATCCAGACTATTGCTAGTCTGGTTGCATCAGCAGACTGGCTGGGACAAGTTCACATGACCCCCTTTCCAGGAGGTGGTTAGAACGGACACTCCAGGGATCCTCGTGAGGGTTCTTCTCAGCCACCCTGGGCTGAAGTGATTTCTTACYACCAGGAACCTCTTGTTGGCAGCCTTGTTCTCTTTCCCCTTCTGCCAAAGTCTCTGCCAAAGCTCCATCATATGTTATGTGCTGTTCTTCTGCTGAACAGAATAGACAATATTTGTATTTATTAATAACTATTACTTTACTATTTATTTTTATTTAATATCATTTATTAATTTATAACATATTATTATTTATAATTATTATTATTTATCCACTAAATAATTATTTTTAGCCATCTGAGGATCTTCACAACCAAGTATAAAGAAAGTGGCAGTTTTAAGAGAGAAATCTAAACTCAAGCTAAACTCTTGCTTCAGATTTAAAGAAATGACTTGTAAGAATATTTAACTTTTTTGTTTTTCACATATAAGAACAAGAAAAGTAATGTCTGTGACAACACAATCACCTATCTGGCAAAATCAGAGCACCTGATCCACAGTCTTAAAATCATTCACTGATATGGTATAAGACCTTTCTTTAACATATTTGTGAAAATACCATAATATTTATCAGTCTTGCTCTCTAAAATGGTTGATTTTTCTAAAATTTTTCAATATGGAAAAAACAGACACTTGTCGTGGGAAATTTCTGGTTTATTGGCTATAGCTCCTATATTTATAAAGAAAAACAGAGCCTTCTGATGGGAAACATGAGGCATCCTTCACTGCACAACACACATTGTCTGTATTAGCCAAACCGTGTAAACTGAAGCATGTTTTCTACTGTTGAATAAATTGTGTTCCCAAGACTTATCCAAGGTACCTAAACAAGATATGTAATTCTGAAAATCTTACAGGATACCTGACTACTCAAATATTCTCAAACATTTGTAATGTCTAAATAGCTACTGCAAACCCTGGGTTCTCTGGTAATTTTGGTGGTGAGAAGGTAAATATGGTAAATAAGAAAAACTGTTAAGGATATCAGTCTTTCTCTCTGTGTTCCCAGCACCTCAGCTATCAGTAGATTCAGTTGCTATCTATAAGGCAGCATTTTCTAAAATTCAGGTTGGTCCAGCTGGTAGCCTGAGGACTTGGAAACCCCTTGTTGTCCTTCAGTGCTCTCTGCTGTCTTAGCAGCAGGGGTGGCAGGGAACAATTCCTTTACTCACCTGCTCTGTCTGGTGCTCTGTCTAAGCACCAAACATTCCCCACGGAGTCAGTGAGCTTGTCTAACATTTAAGGCATACCTGTAGCTGCTGTTACACGGCAAAATGTTTCTKGGGAGATCTGGACTCCTCACACCACAAATGCCACTCATCCTGCCTGAATAAGGACTGCCGAGGTACATCTTTGCAAAGATATATATACCCTGTCAGTATGATGGACATAACTCACTTGCTATGAAGCATACTTTAAAAGTTCTATATAAATGCCAAAATTTGGCATTATTACTATCACAAGAGGCTTCTGTCTCCTTAGGAGCCCAAAAGTACTGTTGTAGTGTCATTTCTGATGAGTAATCTGCACAACCGAGGACTGAATGGTCTCTTTACAGCAGTATAAACACTGCTTCTGCTGTACAGGGCACAGGCCAAGAATATCATTCTTGTCTCTGTGTCTTCCTCTACCAGCGATTCCTCCTGCTTAAAGAAAGGGGAAAAGAGATGCAGTAAGGATGGATTTGAGAGGTCTGATAAGGTTATTGAGGGCATATTGAGGGCATCAGATGCAATCACCATGGCATCTGATTCTTCTTCAGATTATAGCACTTCAGGACGTGGCTGGGTCCTGAATAAAACATCTCGGATAGCTTCCAAATTCGGAAGGGCTGCTCTTAGAAATGGAAGAATAACAGGCCCAGTAAAGGTGAATGGGCATTAAGCAATAAACTGCACATGGCCTTCCAGTTTCTAATGTGATGGAAAATGTCATTTGTCCTAACTGAGAAATACAAGGTGACAGGGATAGAAATTCTGTTACATAAAAGTGCAGAAGAGTAATGCAAGTTTAGCAAAATAAAAGAGCAAACTGTAGAGTGCAAAATTAAGTGTTTTCTCACTGTAAAACTATCAGGGATCACACTGCTGTATTGCCTGGTGACTCTCACCCACAGCTCCCTTGAGAACCACTGCCAAGAGATGGATACATTTTATAGGTACACAAGAGTTCTTGTCTTTCAAAAAGAAAAAAATAAGAGACTGGTGAAAATGCTTTATATCCCTGAATGGTTTACATTTATAACCTTAACCTGGTCATGCATCTGAACTGTAATGACACCCTCCCCACCTCACCTTACTGTAACACTGCGGCAAAACTACAGTTACTGCATTAGCCAAGCAAAGYTGTTCCACAAAACTGAAGGAAATCTTAACTCACCATATTGTGAAGAACAAACAGGATGAACATCTGCAATTTGAAACTCAGATAGATCAACCGCTTTAGTCTCCAGAGAGCTGTTACATTCCTTGACAACTGCAAACTGCAAAATAGATGAAATACACACAAAATACAGAGACCAAATTAACACAGAGCAAACTAGCTTTCTAAAACCCAAGAGGTAGACTAAAATAGACAGTTCGGGGTGAAGATCATCATTTTGGGATGACTTCTCCTCTGCAAATTTTAAATATTAGAGCTGGTGACAGTGCTGCTCTTTTTCAGAGTGTGTGCAGTCCTGATCTTGTCTTTTGCAAAAGAGATGTTCAAACAAAAGCACTGATAGATTCAGTGATCTAGGAGAACTGGTATCTGTGACTACATCTGTGAATAGGTCAAGCAGATGTGAATATTTAGGCATGAGTTCATTTGCATAAAATCTGTAAGTTCACAGCTGTTAGCACACATGTGTCAGCCCCTGTCCAGAGGAGATCCAGCTACACACAATTCTGCTTAATGTGTTTGATTGCACAAAGCAGAGCAACGCTTGCTAGATGACAAGTCTCAGAAGAGCATCAAAATTTAGGCGTGGGCAGAAGTCTACCAGGGCTTTCATACTGCTGGGATAAACCCAGCCTGCATTATGTATATCTAACAAAAATATGAAAAATACGCTAGCCTAAAGRTTGCCTCTCTTGGCAGAATAGAAATCAAGGGAAAGATGAATGACATTTGGGCAATTTGCAGGTGTTGTTCCAGTGTTATGATGTCTAGGATTTGATATACATGATAAGGTAAAAGCTCTTTGCCTTTTATGTCAGCCAAGGCGCACAGGTGCAAGAAAGAGTCTTTGGACTCCCCTACTCCAGCCTCAAGGAACAGCTGTAGCTCTGCAAGCTGAGAAAGGAGTAGATTTCATGAACTCCTTGTCACCACATATGCACCAGCAGGCCCTATTTCAACTTCTTCATTAGTATTCCTAATGCTATGTACAACAACAGCACCCAAAGATCTTTACCAGAACCTTCAGGGTCACAAAACCAGCCAGACAACCTAATACATTTGCAAGGCATCCTTTGGSATGATTAAAAAGCCTCAGATTTTATATTTAGATATTACATGGTATTCAACCCCTCAAACATTCCCCTCAATAGATAGAAACTCATCTCTTTCTGGACTCAAAGACCTAGGGAAATAACATAAAGATTCAAACTTTGGGGGTGATGAGTAAAATAGAGATTTAAAGCTAATATATCCATTATCACAAAAGGAAATATATAAAGCCAAATTATTTTATAAACATGTCTGCTCTACACAGTTTTTATATCTTTCCAGCTATAGTATCTACATCTACATTTCCTTTAAGTAAAACTAATATTAGAAAAGCATTTGTATAGTCCCCTGAGTAGAAAGATACGTGTATCACTAAAGTTTACCTCTAAAGCTTTATGTGTATAAACTCCCCCAAGAGCCTTTTACACTGACCTAATTGTGCTTATTCTAAAGAGCATATGCTACTTGGCTAATGTGATGCTACCCACAAGTGTAATGCTACCTATAGCACAACAGCTAATTCAGAGCTATATGGTATGTATGTGCATACATGCATACAAGATCTTGGTCTGCATCACACCACCCAGGAAGCTCAGACTGGGCATTGAAATAGCCAAATATACCAATTATGTCATTCCTGCCAATTGCAAGTTGCTGCAACTTAGCTACGACTTGATGAAAATCAGGTTTCTACAATACATTTCTCATAATACAAATGCCCAACAGAAACAGGCCAGTGCAACTAGATGATGATGGTGTTTCTAGCTATGTCAACCAGTGCACAATTAATATCTTATACTCCCTCCCAAACTTGCAGATAACATCCTAGTTCTTTTTCTTCACAAGGCAGCCTCTAATACAAAGACATTTAATTGCATCATCCCCTCAGACAAAGTTCAACATCTCATGTAGCACACACAACACTTGGCTTCCAATAAGCCTTTTATAGGGAGGGCATACTTCCCTGTGAAAATAACTCTGTGATATGCCATGTCATCACATTGCCATTTCCTTAATTTAGAGCACAGTTCCCCAACTGTTGTGTTCAAAGCTAACAATAACACCAGCTAATAGTTGCAATACATCCAGGCAGCTGTGAACTTGAAGGGATAACAATGAGGTAAGATGAACTAGAGTTAACAGCAAAGCACTTGATGACTCTAGCAGTTATTTAATGTATTTAAGATGTGAATTATTTCATGGATAATCTCAAGTGGATCTCTAATGCTCTTTGATCCTTCCTTCTTCCCTCTCCACTCCAAATTAATATAGTTACCCGAGGCTTGTTGCAAGTGGGTGTCACGTTCTCTTTGTCAGCACGGCTGCTGCCATCTCTTATCGCTTCTGCATAGAGATTCTTCTTACTAAAGTTTTTACTTCTGCAACAGAGCAAAGGCTGAAACAAATTATTTCCCTTTGGGAGGAACAGCTGCTGCTTCTTTTCACACTTTATTCTGTATCTATTTACAGAAGATATATATRTATTTTGTTTTCTTTTGTTCATTYGAAGGAGTATGTCATGTTAATCATAGCACAGGGGTTAAAATGGTTATTAGGCTCGCTACAAAGMGAATTCATTAAGAGTGAACAAACATTTTTCTAATGAAGGACTCTTCAGAAATGGCACATTAGAAGCAACGGATCTCATAAGCAGAGAGAGGAGGTTAAAATAATGTTACTCTATTTATAATACATTCCTCTTATTAAGATTTAGGTTTAAACACATACAATGGATGGTATTTCTCAATGCAGCTGAAAGAAATCTGAATGTACTTTAGTACATACTCGATGAATTACAGTGATGGAAGTCCCTTCTGCCTTTATCTGTACTATTTAATGAAAATATCAGCTTCAGAAAATACTATGAAATAATTAAACTAAAGTTCTCAAAATCCTGGAACTAAAATACTCCTGGGGAAAAAAAAGTAACCAACAGAATTAGCTCAAGCAAAAAAGAAAAAAAAGTATCCATACACTGGAAGTTTTAATATAAAAAAGATATAAATAGTCAGATCCAACTGGCTAGTTCAATACATTCAGAAACTTCTACAGTTAAACAGTGACCACTTATAAGGTAACATTAAAAGCCAATATAGGCTCCAACAGAGAAAACACATTCATAATGACAGGTCATTTATAGTACTTGAGACCCAAATCAGTGCATCCTTACTGAATAATACACAACATGTTTATTCCCTTAGATGTCAGCTATAATGAAGGTAGCTTACTCTAACTTTCTTTTACTTACCTATTTAGAAYGAAATTTAGTAGGCATATATCAAAGAAAATAAGATTTTTCCCTTTCAATATTACATTGACAGAACTGAAAAAGCGCACCATGCCACTATTACCTTGAAAATTCAACACAGGTTAGATGTGCCTTCTGCTAGAGATGACTGCTAGAAAATTCAACACAGGTAAGATGTGCTTTCTGCTACAGCCCTGTCCCCACCATGGATTTTGTCCCCGGATTCTCTGTGACATGCTGCTGTGTGTTCATCCTCTCCTTCCCCACCACAAAGAAAAGCAGCTATCCACAGCAGAGGATAAGAATGAGACTGTTAGTATGAAGTCAGGTATGAAACACATGGCCCTTGGCATTATGTGTTGGTTCTGGGGGCACGGTAAATGTGCTAAACTAGTCCAATCTTATTTTCTGACACTATGGCAAGACTGCTGTTGACACTTCAGTCCTGCCTGGGGTGTGCTCATTCTGTAMCTCAGCTCACACTGCTGGTATAACCCGATTCGGGGATTCAGTGGTTTGAAAATTCACTGCACAGGACTCCCAGGCCCTGTCCTCTAAGGGATGCTCTGCTCAAGAGGATCAYTTTAATTCTGCAGCTTACTTTAAAGCATGCACAGTAACACACGCCAGATTGCCTTGGCAAGTCTGGCAAGCTTCACACATGACTCTGAGCACAGGCAAGAGATGCACTGAAATACAGTTGACTGAGCATGGGCAAGAAGGCAAGACTTCCTCAATCCTAAACCCTGCTCTGCTGCTGAGTTTTGCATGCCCATGGCTGGTTTCTGAGGAGTTGTGTCAAATTTGTGATTCAGTTTTTCTTTGATGGAAAATAAATTAATGCTTCTCTGCTTCCCAAGAAGGACTGGCAGTTCAGAGTGCTACAGAACGCTCAGACTATGTAAACCTAAAACTAAGAATATCACAATCCTGCTCAGCAGGCTAAACTCACTGGACCACACAGTGCTTTGGTATTCTTGGCCTCCAGTTCATACATTTTTCAAATTGGCAAGTGCAGATCACCTACTTTGTTTCCCCCAATTAAAAAGAGATACGAGCCTGAATCTTACAGGGGAAAACAGGACTGTTAGACACTTAATCAATGCATTTCAAAACACAGCAAATTATGAGAAAAAGCAGTATAACAATTTCAATCCAAATATTGGTTTCCAGACTCCAGTTAAGTAGGGATTTAAGATCAGTGGTTTCATTTTGATCTAGTTAGGCTGGCAATAGCTTCAGCACAAACTTAGTCAAGCATGTAATTGAAAACTTGCTTTGAGGTAAATAGTTCTATCGATCAAAAGAAGTTGTTAAGAAAAAGTAAATCAAGGAGAAATGACAAAAGAGAGAGGAAGTGAAGAGTATCTTCACACCTTAATACCAACAAGCTTCTTGCTATTTTTCATGAACATTTGTGTGACATATAAGGGAAATCTAAGAACCCCAAGATTTGTCCATTCTTCATGTGTCATTCCATTGATTAGCTTCTCAGTTGCAGGTCATGAGAACGTACTAGCCTGCATTTAGCTTAATCCAGAACTCTACAGTTAATACAAAATAATAAATGTGGCAGCCTAGCTATATCCTAGGAATCATTAAATAAAAATGCAAAATATTAACTTCCATAGCTAATTTTTATTGACTTTTATGACTATTTTTTCAGTGTGTGTAGCAGATTCTAATTTTCAAATTAACCTATGCCAGAAAAAAACATATAGAAGACAGGTAAGCACAAAGCAGGAGACTGTGCCAACTAGACTGCTCCCTGGCTTTTTGTTTGTTTGCTTTTTAAAGATAAACACGCATTTAAACAAAAGCCTCTGAGAAGAGTTGCCTGCCAAGGTAATTCCCAAAAGACTGTAGCTTATTAAAGGCTGAATACTTTCCAGTGCAAGGGACACCAACGTTTAATTTCACATCAGTCTGTGTTCTTAAATAGTGACTACAGGGATCTTTTTTGCCATGAAGAGAATCCCAAACCTGAAACATTTCCATTATAGCCATGAAAAATGACAGGGAGTTGTGCCCTAGACTTAACATCCTTAATTTTACTCTTTCTACTGCCAATAAAGCTGCTTTCACAATAATTGCTGCAGTACTACTACTACAGAAGTCTGCTTTTGAAAGGGTAACACACTGTATTTTCCAATGGACAAAGGAAAATTCGGATGCARTTCTACACAGGAAAAAAAGAACAGAACAGAACTAGTAAGTTCTGTTCAGAGCAGGTAAGTCCACTATGACTGCTTCAAACATCTAAAGCTCTTAGGAAAAGCTGAGGAAGAAATAAAAGGCACATCCCTGACATCTCTCATCAATAAAAATTACAGCTCCTCTTCAAACCTGATCACACCTASTCTTTTTCTCACAGGATGCAAGTCACTCTCACTAATATCAAAGTGAGTCCTGTGGAGAGGAACGTAACAGAACTTTATGAATTATAGATTCAACTGCTGAAGTACAAAACAAATAGACAAAAAACAAACAAACAAACAAAAAAACACCACCACTACATCAACAAACAGGATGTTATGGTGACTTCCATCAGCTAGGAAACTGCATCTTTTTCACCATTAGCCATCTGTGAAATCCAGCATCACCTCTGGCCCTGGGCCATGTGTTCGAGCTGTGTGTTCGGAAGCACTACCTGTAGCAGTAGGCAGTGAGKGATCCCAGCAGGAGCAGCAAGAGCACAGCTGCCACGCAGACGGCGATGGTTATGTTCCGTATCTTCACTTGCTCGGCATTCTGCTGCTCCCACCACTCCAAATCGCTGAACTGACAGCGCTCCCCTACGTAGCCTGTCGCGCAGCTGCCAAAAGAAAGTGAGCACACATTGAAACTGATGGGGGGGAGGGAAGAGAACAAATCCATTACTTCAATCACCTTTTATATTGATTTATCATCAGCTGCACTATGGAAGCATGCTGTTCAATTTACCACGGATGAAAACAAAAMGACATTAAAGGAATGACTGTCAAAACCTACAGGTTTCCATTATATGCATATATATAAAACTGTAAAGCTACTGAATCTTTGTATACAATTATAGAGGAGGATTATTATTTCCTGATAACAGTGGAACAAATCTAAAAAATATTTTCTTAAATTTTATAGCCTTTTTTTTTTCCCCAATAAATTTTTTCCTAAGGTTTTCTATGTAGCAGTCTCCAATAGTAAGGTCCCTTTTTAAAACTAGGCAGTATKAGACTTACAAGCTTTTTCTTAATGATTTGCTCAAGGGAACCAAATGGATACCATCATGGGTACCATCTTCATAAATCAGCTTTATTACAAGCATGTTCCATAGGTTTCAAGTTGGTTTCTTTTTACCATTGTGAAACCCAGAATATCCAGAGAAATACCTTATTAGGACAGGAAACCTATAAATCACAATGACTAGAAAATGACAAATACATCACAAAGAATCCCAACTTGTTTTACTCTCCAAGTTTAGACACACACAAAAGGTGAACAATAAATATGTGATGAAAAGTACTTTCAGTTCTTAAAAACCCCACAGTAATGTATGTTCAAATCCATCCCACAATATTATGGGGCTAGTTTTACTCAAATCTAGTCAAAAGGGTAGAGAAAGCAATATTTGACCTAAGCCTGATGACTGGAAAATGATATATCAGCATTCCATATCAAACTAGGCACAAGCACTCCCATTCTGTCACAAACTATAACACACATATGCAGAAAAATGCTCATGTTTTTGATGCAATATCACAATAATTATTAAGCAAACACAGGACTTAATAAAACCTCTTACACCCAAAAAAAAAAAAATCCATAAATTACATTCAGTATATGATTTTATTTATTTATTTTCTCAAGACTTTTTCATGGTATTTCTGTCAGACTGCGTTTCAGCCTGCATGYATGACTGCTGCCATCTAGTGCACAATATGAAAAATCAGATTGTTAATGTGGAATCACAGAATCATTGAGAYTGGAAGGGAAATCTGGAGTCCAATGCACCTGGCTCCAGCATTCCTTATAGGATAAGTTGAGCAATACTGGACCCAGTACTGACCCTTGTGGGACACTGCTAGCTGCAGGTCTCTAACTAGAGGTTGTGCCACCGATCACAACCCTCTGAGCTCTGTCATTCAGCCAGCGTTCAGTCCATCTTGCTGTCTGCTCACTGCTCACCTAGCCAGTATGAGGATGTCATCCATGTCCCACATAGAACRTAACTAAACCTGGCTGGTCCTTCACTTGTTAAAAGGCTTCCATTTCCAGTACTGAAGAACATGTACATTTGTATTCTTATTATACATCTATCATTGTGACCCAAAAAAAGCCATCCCAATGAAAGAAGGCAGGACAGAGGTGTTCTCTTCCATCCCAAGACAKGCAAGAACACATGAGCACAGGAAAAGAAAAGCAAGGTCAACAGGGAGATGCTAGTCAGCAGGATGTGTGAAGGAGAGACCATTCATCAGCATGGACAATATAAAATTTCATACTTACTTGCAGGCATAGTCTTGTAGATCAGAAACGTAATTGCACACTCCACCATGAAGGCAGTATGAGTCATATGAAGCTGGGCAACCTACAAAATCACCTTGCACAGGGTATGTAGAGTCTTCATTGTTGCCAGTAGTAGGAGATGCAGTAGACTCTGAAATACAGGATTTCACAAGTGTATTTCATAATTTTGGCTTCACTGRTGGTATGATCAAATGAAAGTGTTTGAGAACTTCAAGTCAGAAATATAAGAAAGAGTCTCTAATTTCAGACAATGAACTGCTATTTGCTTATTTACTTATTCTGGTACGGTCACTTACCAAATCCATATCAAATTTAGGTACTTGCATCCTTAGATCAAAATAGTAAATTGATTTGATTCTTATGGAGGAGGGCTGTTGCTTCGTGTATCTGCTATCTAGCACTTTGTTCCTATCTATTATGCTCAGATCTTAAAACAACAGCTCATGGCTAGCAGTGCACGTAACATTCTAGATGTGCAATAAAAGACCCACAGAGGTTGGCTGCGTTTTATTTAGATATCATAGTACACATTTTTKAACTCCATTGGCTGTCTAGTAGCTATTTTAAAATGGCAGCTTTATGCTACGATAAATCTCCATCATGAATACAGTACCAGAGCCAAATGTGCAAGGGAAGGGCGATTGCATTTCATGCATTTGGATCTGGGCCTGAAAAGCTTTCACATGTAACTTATTGTTCTTATACAGATTATTTCTGCTCTGCAATGATCCTCTTGACTACATCTGTGGATGACTGAAGATCATATTTTTGAGCTGGCATTAAGCAAGCTAACCCAGGTACAGAGACCAGCATAACCAGGGATGCATAGAACTTTGTGCATCCCATTTCTTAAAAAGGTTTTGTAGTTTGTTCTGAACTATATATACAGTCACCTACATAAACATGCCAACTAGCTAAAGGAAGCTCTTCTACTTCTGCACAACATGCCCTGCTATGCAGCCATATCCTTAAAGAAAAGAAGCACTTTCTCGCCTACTTTCATGCACTCAATTATCTGTAAGTCAGAACCCAACACGGCAAAGAATTTATGGCATTAAGACCCAAGTCTCTCGCACACTTAAGTCATCAATTCTGCCTCACACCTCTTTTACTGCCACTTCACCTTGAAAGACATTTGGTTTTTAATATTTCATTTGCAGAAGAACTGTCAAGAGAAAATACCTAGATGGAAAGGAAAACGTGATTTTAGCAGAAGATTACTTATAAGTCATATGTCATTTAAAATCATCATTTCTATGGTGACACTTGGAACTACTGAAAGCTTACGTAGCTGAGAAGCGATGGTCAGAGCAGAGGCGGATTTGGGTAAGAGTTCTATTTATAAAACCATAGTTTCATTCTATTTTCTGCAGGAACAGATCTGTGGCAATCATGCAGTATCCTTCTGTCACTGCATTGTCAATTGATACAGGATAAAATTCACCTTTGTGAGAAGGACCGATACAGAAACATGAGAGTTCCTCAGCTATGCATTTCCAGAGAACATGGCCGTTGTGCTGAGGCACTGAAATGGTGGTAGATATTCACCAGTGCTAAAGGTTGCACCAGCCCCCTTTGATTAACTAGTAACCAGATTTTCTGGAGAGTTTCAAAGCTCTTCTAAAAAATCAATCATTTACTTAAGCATTTTTTCTGGATCTGAAAAGCCAGCTTATTCTGAAATATGAAATGGGACTTAAATTATGCACAGGCTTTGTACTATCCTCTGCAGAGGGGAAAAAGAAATTGAGATTCTGAACAGTCTAAAATCAACTCAAAAATGGGCTGTTATCTCTAAGAAGCACTTACTTCTGTTCTGGTTTGCAAAGGGCATTAGAGAAGCATGTCATTACATTCAGACAGTATAAATTAGAGTTGAACCTAACATAGACAGTTCCAAATAAAACTCAGATTTAGAGTCCTTAATTCATTTTGAAACAGCTGTCTGCAAAACAGCCTCCTAAAGCAATGCAACATCAATTTACAAGCTGTCCAGTATCTCACCATTCAGTCTTTCCCTGAATTTTACCATACAGCAAACTGAGAGCACAGTTCTTAGTTAAAGGTCTCTCTGTTTTAACTGCTCACTCCATTTACTCACCACAACTGATACCAGTTCCAGAAGTATCATCAGTGCAAGAGCAGCTGTAGCTTCCTTCTGTATTTATACAGGTTTTGTTCTCTCCACAGATGTTGGGCCCCATCTTGCACTCATCAATATCTGTCATCCAAACAGTCTGCAGTTAGAAGAATGAAATGCCTCAGAGCATCAGTTAAAAGGGGCAGTAGTAGCAGCACTATGGTCTCCTAGCAGTGCAGCAGAGCATCCCTCTGCAGGTTTCCCTGGCTAGAAAGTGGAAAGCAACCAGCATGCTTTTTAAGCATCTTCCCCAGCCTCTCACAGCACACGTTACACTGCTGAAGTGTTCCACAGGAAAAAAGGAAAAGTTTTCTCACAAAATATAAGGGGTACAGAAGAACTGAAGAGAAGATTTTTATGCACTAGATATTTTCTCCTGACATTTCCAGTCCCAGCTCTCACACTGGTACACGTACTATGGACTGGCACTCTTGCACTGAGATAGCAGAAGACAGACCTGTCTGGTCCAGCCGAGACATAAAGTCCACGTAGAACAAAAAGGTCCATATCTACTTTATGCAGACAGTTAAATGAAGTAATCCTCACCTGTGTCTCACATCATACTGATCATCCTCACACCTTCTTCTTCACAGCCCACAGAGGCAGCTCTAGTGAGGCCAGCATTCACCTACTCTGGGTTGGCAGTTGCACTGTGGCTTGCTTGGGCATGTACTTATGCCCTCCCAAAAAGTAACAGTTGGGAATTTCAAAATGGTTTAYGCACCACAGTTTGGGTTGGGATTTACTTTATGAGCTGTCAGCAGAATATGTGCACCAGATTTACTCTGGGGATACAAAGACACAAATCTACCATCTCACGTTGTGTGAAACTCTTGCTTAAACCACTGGGATTTTTTCTACAGTAATATTAACAGGATCTGGCCCAAAACAGCAGGGAAAATTCAAATGCGCTTTAAAACAAAAAACACACAAACAGAACGATTKCAACATATTCCAAGAAATGTGATTTTAACAAAAATACATGGATTCTTATTGCACTACTTCTAGATGAACTGGCAGGTTTCTGAATACTGTTAAAAGCATGCAGGTATCTGTATCCAAAATACAGAATCCTTCACCTACGTGTTTCTGGCTCTTTATAGTACATTTCAACTCAACTAATTCAAAGTAGTTTGAGTTTGGTTTAGCTCATGACAAAATCTTAYAATTTATAAATCACTGTGAAAATGTATCTGACCAAATCATGGCCTTGCAGCCTGGAGGCAGAGAACAGATTGCCTTTCCAGAACGCTGTCAGGTAYCATAACCATTCTCGTTGAGCAACTAACCACAGATCACGAGGCCAGAGCTGGCCAAGGACACACATGTCAGATGCAATGCACCTCCAAGGAAGGGAGCTCTGGATCTCTGACCTGTACCAGCAGAATGCCTTCCCCAACCGTCTGCCTCTGATACTTTCCATACCCTACTCATACTAATAATATCACTCCTAATCATTTAGTTTTCCTTCTCTGTGCTTAAGAACCAAATTCCAGTAAACACTATGTAAGAAATAGGTCAAAATTAATAGGTTTTGCATTTGATTATAAAAGATAAAAAAAGAAAAAGAAAAAGAAAAAAGGGGAAAAAAGGCAAGTGCAAAGCAGCCAAGACACTTACAAAGCTCTGAACAAAATGTGTGCTGCTTGCATGTTGGAGGAAAAAGAAGCTTCCCATTCCTTCATACTTACTGCTAAAAAGGATTTAAAAAAAAAATACAGAGACATAATTAAGATCTAATAAARACCTGGCATYAGAGCTGGAAGAGAGAATGAGTGGSTCTGATTATTAACATGACTCTGAAAGTACTCAGGCTGCAAGTGTCAACAGCCTGAACATCATGCCTATTAAACTAACTTGGAATTATTTGATCAGTATTATGACACATTCAATATCCACTTTCGTTTAGATTCATGGCAATGATTTCCAATAAATCYGTACTCGTTCACCACCATTTCCCTCCTCCCTTTCATTTTTTCCTGTCACTTTTGCTATAGCTACCAAAAAAAGTGCAAACAATGAGAAGAAATACCATTGACAATCAGAAGCTTTGCATATTGATCACCTGCTGAGGTTGCCACACTTCAAATAGGAAGGGAAAAATGAGAAAGCAGAGATAAATGCCAGCTGTTTGGGGGGAGATCCACAGCCCAATGTTAGTATGCATATCCTTATCATATTTTTCAAAAAGAAGCAAAAGTGTCTTCATTAGGGACACTTGACAGCTTTGCAGCTTGTTGCGGAGCTAGCCCAAATCATTAGACATCTCTTATCCCCTCTGTCACTGCCTCTCAGGCACACCACACCCTGCACACATTCCCTTACCGTGGCAGTGGAGTCCATCTCCAGTGTAGCCCTCCAGACACTTGCAGACATAGCCCCCTTCAGTATTGATACAGCCTGACACATTTCGATTACAGCGGTCCATATTTACAGCACATTCGTCGACATCTGCAAGAAAAAATACAGAGGAGCCACGCTGGTCATGAAACCATGAGGCAAACCAATAAAAAGAAATGTCTGTGTCCTGAATTTCCTTCAAACTATACTGCCACTTGTCATTTGTGCTTCTGAAGAGCTTTGCATCCTTATTATTAGCATAAAATTTGACCAGAATCTTCTGAAAAGCTTAAGAAAGTCAGATACTGGATACTTTCAGCCAGAAGCCTTGATGTTCCACAAGTATCACTTGCTTCAAAATAAAAAAAAATCCCCATTTCAGAGGGTATGATCCTATTCAAAACTTTCTGTATATCCTAATCATCTTAAATCCTACTCAGAGAAGCACTGCTTTGAAAAAGAGCACATGAGCTAAAGAGAAAGGTATAACAGCTCACCAAGTCTCCATTTTTTTTCCTTTAAAAAGTAATAGAGACTCGTATGAGTCTTTCTGCTTTGCCAAAGGGTAATTTATTTTGTTTCTAATGCCTTCCTGTCTTGGCTTTTGCAATAGAATAAAGTGCTTCTAMTGACATTTTATGCAAGGCCAAAAACTAGTTTTAAAGACCACTCTGAGCAATGTGTTATCTGATTGTTAGAGACACTTTCTAGTGCCAGAAAGAAACAAGAACAGCCTTTTATATAAACATTACATTAGGAACATTAACTTTTAAGAGATTCCTTAGTACATAACTCTAAATAATACATCGACTATCATGTTAGACCTGAGCATTTATAATTAGACAGGKTTTTTTTTTTTAACAAATAAATATGTTATTCTTGTATTCTTATTATTCCCTTTATTGCTTATTAATATTAATAGGATTAACACTCATGACTCAGGGGAAAATAATGCATGTGATAATTAGCAATTTCATCTCACATGCTCTCTGCTCATCATCCTTTTCAAAATAAGCAATCCCATTGACCTTTCTGTGATAGCTCATGCAGTACAGCTGCCAATATGAGAAAAGACATATTTTCTTCCTGCCCATAATTCTGCAGTTTTCCAGAAGGTCATATTAATGCTTTTTTATTACCATAGCAGAATTTGCCCCTCCTGGTAAACCCTTTCAAACATTGGCACATGGCTCCATCTTCCAGCAAAACACACTGTGCATTGACATCACATTCTAGTGCAGAGCAGTYATCTTGATCTAGAGCATAAAAAAAAAACAACAAAAAAACCCTAAATGCATTTGAATTGTTCAAAGATCATATTGTCATATTCGGGGAAAAAAAAAAAAAAACCAGAATACAGAGTGAAAGTTTGAAGCACAGTTCACCACAGTGGTGACAAGCCAACATATTTACTAAGGCAGTCATCTTTGTCTAGATGGCCAAGCACTGAGTAATACTGTGATTTCTGAATATTCTAAGAAAAATCCATAGTGCAATTTTTGATCTAGTGTCATTAACAGGTGTAGAATTCATTAGTTTTACCTGCCATTGTGTTCACAGGTACATAAGTACTTGCCAAATCTAAGAGAGAGAGGGACTTTTCACAAGTCATTTCAAGTCACAAATATTTGTTTTTTAGGCCTAGCTAACATTATCAGTGTTAGCACAGCACAGGAACAGAGATAAACAAATGAAAGATCACTTCTTCCTGACATAGTTACATAGGTCCAACTTGTTATATGAAACTTACCATAGATCATGACTTCACATGCAGCCTTTTTTTCCTCTAAAATCTATGATTTATTTGTTTTCTATAAATCAGTTCAGATCCTCAATTAAGACAGTAAATCATCAAGCTCTACCTGATGTCATGATTTCAGCCATCAACAAAATATTAATTTGCTGTTTTTCCCCACTTTCAGTATCCTTCAGTATTCCACCATGTTGTGTGCTCTGGAGCAAAGTCTCAAGTGTTGGCACTGCCTCCTTATGCACAAAGACTCTGCCTGGAAACGACAAGGAAAAGATGACAYATATTGTTTAAACCTACCTCTACTTTCTGGTTCCTTCCTCATCACAATGCGTTCCTTCTAAAACAAAATCACTTTCTTCCAAGATTGGCCTGTTCCTGTCCCACCATTAAAACCAATCACTGGTAGATTTTCTCRAATATAACCTTGTTGCCATAGTATTTGTCCGTATTGCAAACATCTCTTCTATGGCTAATATGCCAAGGGTAAATGACAATGGTCAGATCAATATTCCAGTTTTTCTCATGGGAGGATTTGTTCTACTTGCCTCTTGCCAATGCTGACGATATTCATGAAAATCTGTTCAAAGCATTAGTCCTCCAGAAGGCCCTAGCATGTTTAGGAAGCAACCAATGTCTCAGATATTTAATCRTAAGTGGGAAAAGGAGGTAGACACTATGTGAGGCTAGGGGGGTATTGCCAGAACACAGAAATAAAAGAACAGAAGGAGATGAGAAGAAGATTTCATTCTGATCTGTCTCAAGAGGAACAGTAAACTACTTTCCACGCTCAGATAAGTTTCAGCATTTTGTAAAATGTTCTGGGTTTGTTCCTATGATCTGTGATACAGAGAACCTAAGTTACTATCCACCATATCATATCAATTAGCCTAGTATTTTAGTGGTGGAGCTTGTGATGTTTCTTATAAGTGCTAGAAATTGCCCTAATCACAATATCCTTATCAAAGATATGGAGGTATCACTATCCACACATGGGTATATTATGTCACAGAGTTTAAATGTTCAGTCCTCCTAGGGAAAATAAAAAGAGAAGGTAAGAAAGAATGTGAAAAAAGTAAGAAAATGTCTACAAAGAAGAAAATATATATATTTTTTTCTCCCAGGAAACTAACATTAATTATGTAGAGGAAGGTAAATATTTTCCAGAAGTTATTTGTCAGGATCCTTAAGGCTTCTTGACGTCTTTTTTTGACTAGAAGATCATACCTGCTATTTTGTTAGAAGCATTCAGTGCATGACAGGTTTTTCCATCTTGAGCTTTTCCAAATCCTCGATGGCACAAACAGCTAGCAACTCCAAAGCTATTTTCACAGATCTGATCACAGCCTCCATTCTCATGGAGGCAAGGATTTGTCCCTAATGTAGAAAGATATGGGCAAGTTAATAAACTGCAAGTTTGTACCTTCTTCAACCAATATCTCCTCTTATTTGTGCAGACAGCAAATGCCCATCTGCTAACAACTGCCTCACCTCTGGCAAGAAAACAGACTTGCATACTCTATCAAATTAATGTGTCACTTTGTTTTGTTTCCTTTATTATCTAACCTGCAATGTTTGGAGTCATAACTTTTCCTTAGCAAACATTATAAAAGATAGCAAATCTGTGAATGACTTCTCTCAGTCACAGTCTATTGAGTTTCCTGAGTTGTTGGGGTTTTTTTTGTTGGTTTTTTTTTTTCCTCCTGCTCCCAGGAGGATCTTCCCAACGGAAAAAATCAAGTGATTTGGTCCAAAACTAATAAATCTTAACATCTTTCTTCATGTCATTTGGTAACATTTGTGTGTAGGGGGTGACAGCAATACATCTGCTTATATAAGAATTACAAGATTGTGATAGTCTTGCAGCAATTGACCAGCATCTGTTCTTGGCCATAGCCACAATATGCAAAGACCTGTTAGTACTTTTGCTCAGGCCCTCTGACCTGAGCMGGATCTGTTGTGACATTCTAACACAGTACATCAGAGCACAAACATAAACAACAACGGAGAAACAGACTTCCAGTGTTTTCCACGAACACCAGCCTATGCAAGCCTTTTCAAGAGACTGTTTCAGGAAAGATGAACCTCTCCCCCAGGACATCTATTTTGTTAGTGTTAGTAAACACCAAAAAAAGGTTGGAAGGGAATGACTGCTTATTTTTTGCAGTATACCTGGTTTCGCCAGAGGATGAACTACAACCACTGATGAGGGTCTCAGCATGCTGCCTCGAAGACGTACCCTATTTTGGCCTGTCTTCTTATCCACCCTCATTAGTGATGGCTTGGCCCAGTCAGAAAACCAAATATAATCTTCAAAAACTGCTACATGGAAGGGACGACCTGCAAAGACACATAACTCTGAGTCTRTAGAAGAGGAGCAAGAAATCATATACACAAAATTAGTAGCTGTGCCTATGCATCCTTCTATCACAGTGGCATGGACAAAGCCACTCCTGCCCTCGGACATCTTGGGGACATGCATGTGTCCATGGACACGAGACCACAGGTGCTTGCTACACGACCACAGGTGCTTGCTCTAGGCAGTAGGTGACCTCCAGCCACGTGATACCTCTACCTCAGGACAGTTCCTTTTCCTGAAATAGTTTTTGGGACAGGCTTCCCTGCTCTGCATTGTTACTACCCTGGGCAAGGCTTTACAAGATGTTTTATTTGCAGCTAAAAATGGGATTAACACAAGTGCAGGAGAGAAACCTTACCCATCCTGAATGCAATTGAGCTGAATGAGTTCTCAGTACCAGCCCACTGGAGGGAGCCAGTGTAATACAAATTCAGGTTACAGCAGCCTCAGTATAACATGAAACCACCTCTTCACCAGGGTAAARTAGAATCCTTGTCTCTATAAAGGCATCAGTTAAACACTGGGATTTCATGCTCCCTGCCTCTCTAATTTCACATCCATACTGGTCTGCACCTCCTTCTCTTCTTTCTGTAATTTTATTTATTCTTCCCATATCTTCAGTCATCCATACCACTGTCCCATGCCTTCTCCTTCTTTCCCCCACCCTCCATATCTCCAGTGATCCTAGCGCTCTCTCTCTGTTTTTCCTCATAAGGCATTGTCCTGAGCATTGTGGAGAAGCAAAGCAAAACTTTCAAGGGACTTCAAAGTCCTCCTTTACAGATCAGTTGCATGATGGGGCACACAGCAGAATATCCTGTAGGAGGGACAAAGAGGAATGGTGTCAAGCCACTCTACTCTCTGCTTTTGATATCTTACAGGCTGGAAGAGCAATTCTTCCTCCAAAGTCTCAGCCTGAAGGCAAGTGGGAGGGCATTTGGTGTGGAAGAACAGCAGCAGCTTAACAGGTAAGTGGCAGTTTAGGCACTGATTCAAGCCAAGAGTCCTCATTCTGTGCATCTTTGCCTGCACACTGCCAAGAGAAATCTGGTCTCCAGAGAGGTATCATGAACAAAAGGCCTTGCCTTCTCCAGTAACTAATTTGCCACATATGAGATTCTGAAATACACAGTTTACTTCAAAAGTGTTACAGCATCAGTGCCTCATTGCTAACACTTTTGTCTTCTTACTCCAGAAAAATGTAATTATGTGTCAAGTAATAGCAGGCTCAGCAATAACAGYTACCAGCATCTTGCATTAATCATTTTTCCATTCAGTATCTATTATGCATTTAGAATCTTTCCAGTGTTCAACATGGCGCGGCTACAGGTTCTTTGCTCAAAGATCTTAACAGCCAARCCGTTTCTCTTCCAACTTGCGTCAATATAACTTCACTGGCATAATAAATGTAAAAATATTCTGAATTAAAGCAAGCAACCATGCATGGAACAAGCAAAACACGTTTTTAATTTTAACTTGTTTTCAAGTTAAAATAGAGGCAGAGAAGCTCTCYGTGCAATGCAAATTGAATGATTAGTAAAAGCAGAGAGTATCAAAAGGTGGTTTGTTAAAATAAATGAATAAAATTCCAAACAGAGAGAGAGAATCCAGGACTATGYGATCCCAACAGAGTTGCACAGCATATACACATAGCCAATGACCTGTAATTCACATGCATGTGTGTGCATATATGCACACATACACCAAGGAGCAGTAGGCAACGATCAACCCCAAAGCCTCACCTACATCATTCTGTGCAAGAACTCGACGGTCAGAACCATCCAGATTTGCGCTCTCAACAACCGCCTGTTTTGCATCGCACCAGTATAACTTGTCAGCTAAGTAGTCGAGAGCTATTCCACTGGGCCACACCAGACCAGTGCTGGCTATAACCTGACGGCCAACACCTTCTATTGAAGAGCTGTCAATTCGGGGATTGATGCCCATGTCAGTCCAGAACAATCTCCTTTAGAGAAAAAAAATATAGAGGAAATCAAGTAAACATTTGTCCGCCACTCTGTGGAGTCCTTTTAAAGCAGAAAGATTAGACACAGTGCACACATATCAAGCAAATTATATTGGCTGCTGATCTTTAAACCTTGCTGTATGATTCCAGATCATGACACTGGGACAGGAGCAGAATCTTTGCTATGTTTATTGGCAAAACCCATTAAATAACAAGTCCTACCTCTTCTGCTACTTGCCAAATGTTCATATCCGTTTTTCGCAGTTTCCATCTAGCAGTGTAGCATAGCAAGACGATAGAAGGCTTAGGGCATTAGCCAGCTGAACATCAGCATGACAATGCCAAGTGGAATCAAATCATGATTTTTGGGGGGAGCTCTCTCTAAAGCCCTGACTGTTGTTCACTGAATGCTTAGAGTTTTTCAAAAAAACAAATGGTGCAAGACAGAAACTCAAAACGGAAATAGTAGGAATCTCAAATTACTTTTCACAATTGGAATTTAATCTTTTTGGGCATTAACTGCTTTTACAGGTTTCCTGAGATAACTCATAGATTCATTTAGCTTTATTTATATGAGCAGCTTTGCTGAAATCAATGCAGGACCAGTATTCTCAATAGTTTGACATGTGCCTCAGATTCATCTTTAGTACTGACTTCAGCAGCATAGCTATAATGTCTGTTGTCTAATAAGGTAAGTTTTAGTCACATCTTCTCTTCCTCCTAACAGCTTTTGCCTTGAGAGATACCAGTCTACTGATCATTCAAATAAACTATCCCCCTTAAAACCGGTTTTCCAGTAAAACAGCTCTCTCACGTTCCACCACTATTGAAAGATACTTTCAACACTTTTATGTCCAGAGTGAAGCTAAAAAAGTTACCCTGCCCAATTTGGTTTGGCTCACCAATACAGYAGTATGGAAACATCAGGATAACTCAACAGAAGAATTCTACAACCCTTCACAACCATCTCACTAGAGACACATAGACTATCTTTGGGGCTTTGCCAATAACAATAGTCAGAATTTCATTGGTAGTTTTAAATGTTCAAAATTTCTATGATCATCTAAGCACTAGATAAGGTGATCCAAGACATGTTTAAATCGGCATTTCCTCAGAAACTGAAATAGGCTCAAAAAACAAACAAACAAACAAAAAAACTTTGCTAGCACTGCTGATCAGAAGTGACTGCACCTTCCTCATACCAGTATGTGGTAGTACAGTGCTTACAGCAGTCAGGGTGACTTCAGCTGCTTGTGCTTTTTTCATTTAAAATGTATACAACATTCTTAATGCTTCTTGTAAGTTTTTAGATCTATATGAGGAAATTAATATGCTCTGCAACCTTCCCTGACTCCCATAGAAGGCTGCAGCTTATGTAACTCTGCTCAGCAACAACTATCCTAACATGAAGCCAGTGCCTTTTTTGTCTGCCAGAAGGGCATGCTCATTTTTWAAAAAAAAACTTCCCCACTTATTTCACAATTAGTTATATTTGTCACTTCTTACTTAGCAAATGGGTGAATGACAATCCCTCGGGGCTGGGAGACATCCTCCCAGATGATCATTTTTCTTCGCATTCCGTCCAAATCGCTCCTTTCGATGCACGCCTTCCTGCAACACACATGGCACTGTCACCTTTGTAATTACCTTCTTTAGCAGAACATACTATGGAGAACATCAGTTCCTCCACTGATTTAACACAAAACTGTCACCAAGAACCTTACAAAGACAGGAAATAAATCTGCCTGTGTTTTTGTTTAGCCTGATACATTGGTCACCTGGACACAGGCAGACACAGCTATCTAGGTGTATTATCAACAAGTAATTGATGCTACAGCCTCAATTACTAGCATGGCGATAAAATCACTAGGGCATAAAATCACTACATCACTAGGGCATCACTAGGGCGATAAAATAAATGCTGCTATGCAGGAAATGTTAAGATCTCCTTTTTTGGGCAAATCACAGAATTGAAAGTATAATCGCTAACAGATGAATGTTAGCTTTAAAGGGGGTCAAGAGGAACACAAGCTCCTAATTGAATGCCATAATCAAATGTGTAAAGAATATTTTTAAATAGACTTTTTCATTGAGAAATCTCCAAGCAAGTTATACTTGATATCGGTTTTACAACAAAGAATGAAACAAAGGTCCTTGTGAATAATCATAAAAATCTCTGGCAGATTCAAATATGGACCCTACTTTGCCTGTCTCCCAATCCATTTTGTTTCTGTGAAACTGAAAACTCTTACTTTTACAAAAGTTTCATTTATCCAAGCAAATACCAGTCTCCACCTGARAACACCTACCTTTCATACCTACCTCAATCTGCAAGAAATGCAACGCAAAGACAGAAAGAGAAATAGTTATAAATACGTAGAATACAAGCAGGCAGTCCAAGTGAGTGAGAAGGAAGTGGCAAATACAAATTCATAGCTGCATCCTTGACTTTGTGTTGTGGAGAGGGAGAGCAGAATTTACAAACGCCCAAGGAAAAGAAGCACTGGCACATTTATTCAGGAGTAACCTTGTAGGCAAGATTGTGTCTACTGCTAACAAAATGGACTATTAGTGTACCTACCAGATAAGGAAGTTTATCTGGATATTCAATAATCACTTTTTATTGACCAATAAAATATGAGTTTTCCTGAAACATCATTACTACCCTTCAAGGACTCATCACTACGTGTTCTGATCTGACACTACCTTTTTACCAATGGTTTCTCTCTGTGTGTAAGGTTAGGTACCACTGAAACATGAGGTCACACTGTCTGCCAGTGCGTCTTCCTCTCTTATTAGGGATAATTGACAAAGATTGTCCACTAGCTTAAGGAAGTATGTATGGTTTGAGTCATTCATAATGCTGACTTCTGTCTAAGATCTACTTAGCGTAATAATATTCATGATACATATAGATTTACATATATATATATATATAT